TTAAATTTTAACATAACATACTTATTGACTTCGCGTACGGGGTGATGGAGGGGTAAATACTTACCTAGGATGGTAAAAAATTTGTAAAAACGTAACAAAACACTGTAGTATATCATAAATATTGTTTTTAGAATTATGCTAGCTTGAATATTAAGCTAGCGAAACCGCTCCCATCAGAGGTAGGTTTGGGGGTAAAAAATTATCGAATTGGTAATAAATTAGTGAAATATGGGTAAAAAATATGACGTAGGTTAAATTGGGTTCCGCTCATGTGTCCCCGCTAGCTTAAGGGACCTCAAGTTTTGATCTGATTATAAAAGCAATCTGTTACCTTTCCCGATTTCTTTTTGTAATACAGCTCTGTTTTCTGTTATGCATTTGTCACATTGTTCTTTGTCCTCCAAGCAGGTCTAATTTAAAGAATAGTAGGTTTTAAATATCCACATTATTTCCCTACATATGCATTGTAAAATATTCTAATCTACAAATATAAGGGTATTTAACATAAATATTTATTTATTTCAAACACCTAGTCAGATGGTGTTGGTAAAACCTTATAGAGGTTTTGGTCTAAAAAAAATTTAGCTCATCAGAGCAATATATCACTAGCTATGTGTTATCAATAGCACACCCGGGCTTCTCAGTGGGTCAGGACCTAAACGCAGAGTTTTAGGCCGTGAAAATCTGAATTATCTGAAAATAATATTCTGATTTATGATAGCCATGATTCTTCTTAATAGTAATTATTATCCTTTATATCAATTTGCCTTAAATTTGAAAAATGAATGTTTAGAAAGTGTCCTTAGATGACTTGTTTCTTGGAGATTAGACCTAGTGTATCTATATATAATGTATACCAGTATTAGCAGACCAGTGCAAAAAGATTAAAATACAGATCAAATTGGAAAATAATTCGAATCGTCAAGCAAACGTTAAGCGATGCAGCAGCCCAGCATTTTTATGTTAAATAGCAATAAATGCGATCTTAGAATTGATCTTCGCGTACGTATGACATATTGCTATATCTTTCCAGTGCGATGGATCGACAGAGTTAAACATGAGGAGCTCCTTAGATGGCTGAAATAAACAACACAATTGGTCAATTTAATAAAGAAATGCAATCTGGCATACTTGGCACATTACGAGATATCCTGAAGAATATGAACTTTTGCATGTGATCATTCATCAGGGAAAGATCCCAGATAACCATGCTCCTGGTAGAAGAACATCATGGCTAAAAAATTTAAGGCAAAGGTACGGAAAATTGACTACATCATTATTTAAAGCTGGTGTTAATAGTCACAATAACGAATATGATAGCCAACATTATACCCTACAATAGGTAATGGTCTTGGAACGAGAGTAAGAGCACGAATTAGTTATAAAATATCATAATTAGTTTGGCTGTGAGATTTGATAACATGTTGATTAATGTTGAAAACTGTCAAAGGTACTGCTGCGATTGCTGTTATACATCATAAAAGCATTGAATCGCTTAAAGTTGTCTAAACACTCCCATTGACATCAGTTGAGCGCAAATTTCATAGTATTATCAAAAACAGACAAACTGTCACAAATATCAAATATGAAATTAATTCTCTTTTTCATTTTGATCAGTACTTTGAGAAAGGAACGGCTGAAACATCAGTAAAAAGTAATTTCCACATAGTTGATTTAATTTAGCAGCTAGGAGTTTTATCAACATTCAGGAGTTTGTAATATTGAGCTTTCAAAATCAATTCCAGATTCACGAACTACAATCACCAAACCAGAATATCCATTCATTTTTGAAGAAATTGGACAATTATTAAGTTTTCACTCCATAACAAATTTGTCATAGTTCGTTTTCTCACATAAATAAGGTTAATAATCTAAAATTTTAGAAATTGCAATACAGATTATGGGCCACATTAAACACACATTTCGGGATAAAAGGTCGTCCTTTATTTCATTCATAGTCAATTCCGAATTAGAACAGTGGTTATGAATCGATTGTATTTACATTTCTATACAGTACTTTCTAAAAAGTACCTACCTACTTATAAAATAGCAAGCTTAAATTCGGTAATGTTGATGCATGAAAAGATTTTAACACAAAAACAAGAGTTGAAAATTTCAAGTTTTCGGCTAAAGAAAGACCTTTAATATTGACATCATTTTGATACCTGCTTGTCTCTTGACCCCACTGAACATAAAATCCCTACTTTTAAAAAGACGATCTAGAAACCGTTTAAGTTCATAGCTTTTGTGCTGTATTGCTTTATAACGCGATAACGATTTGTTTATTTATTTTGTTATCATTTTTTCTGCAAACGTTTAGTTGTTTCTTGAGGAACATTGACAGATTCTAAACATTGTTTTTAAATGGAATGTTCCATACTTTATTATATAAATGTATAGGTCCTTCTGAGAGAAGGATTGATATAACTGCTATAGCGGTATCAAATCACATTAGGAAATTGGGAAAGATAAATCCGGGTCTACAATGGGTTTGTTTAGCATGCAGAGCCTGATTTTTTAATTTGAATTTTAAAATGCCATTTGATACAAAAATCCATCAGATTACAAAGTAAACAATAATTGCTATAGTGTTTTGATGATTGGCCGTTGAGTTAAAAAACGGCATAATGTAGAAAAACGCTCAAATTTGACATCCGTTATTTTTGTGGCAACGCTTTGATTTGTGTTTTAAATTATTATATATAGCTCTAAAAATTAGGTATCATAGGATATACCATTCTGTTTAAAAAAGATCCAAGATTAGCGTTTTGAAATCTCCATTTCCAGTAAGTCAAGAAGAAGATGTTTGAAAAGCACTTTAAATCATTTGATTCTGAAATCATAGTTTTCTGAGATTTAAAAAAGAGTATTCTTCACTTAAAAATAAAATAGTTTCCACGTATCCGAAAAAGTACAATGAGTATGCGACCAACAACAATTCCACAATTTTTCTCTTCAAGCTGGTCGGATGCAAATCTTGTGATAAGTCTTTTAAATTAACAACTTAAACTCACAATAGGCGCTGTAATTTGATAATAATGATAAAATTTGAAACATAGTATTTAGGTTTTCTTACTGTCCTTCATATTCAAAATTTATTTTTCAAGTAATTTTTATTCGCAATTGGGTCATACGCGCCAAAGGACGAGTAATTCTATGATTTTTACAAACTTACATAATTTGCTTAAAAAATAGATGTGAAAAGTTATACGAATGACCAGAGCACATCACTGAGTATAGACAACTTTATTTAAATTAGTATGTGATACTCAAGCTAACTATAATGTTTGGAGAAATAAAATGCTTCTTTTTTTAATATTTCTTTAACCTGTCCTAAAATTATTATCCTTAACATGGTCAACATCGAAATCGCGTATAAGAAAATTGTTGCACTATTGTGGCACCTTTAACACACTAATGCCATTTATTCCCAAATTCGAAATAAAACTAGTTTTATTTCAACTGAAATGTGCAACACCGCAAGGTCATCTTAGAGGGCGCTACTTTACGACCACGCCCATGATGCCACAATTGCGTGTGTAAATTAAATCTGCCTCATCCTGATTTCTGGCAACATACGCAGAATCAGCGTTATACATTTTTTATTTTAGCTCTATTCGGTCCTATCCTAGCAAAAAAATACCTATCGAAAGCCAAATGAAAACAAGAGCATATAAAATTATTTTGATAGTAAATACTACTAAAACAAAGAACATATTGAGAAAAAAAATTGTGGTAACGTGTGTAAGTTACCACAATTTATGAAGTTACCATAATACAGGAATATGTTCACACAGGTTACCACAAATATCGCTGCACACACACACACACACACACACACACACACACACACACACACACACACACACACACACACACACACACACACACACCCTACACTAGGTACCTGACTGTACCATGCCAATGATCATATTTGTCGAGGCATTAACCCAATAAAAAAAAATCAATTTAGGTTATATTTTTTTAGACAAAACATTGATGTTCTGATAAATATGGTCAAATTTTGTTTTACAATTTGCTGTTTTAATAAGTTGGGTCAAAGATAAAATAAATAATGCTTTAAATAGATTAAATTGAAAAAAAAATATGTTTTTCTTTAATAACAACATATACAGTAACATTGAGAGTGTTAATAACTATAAATACTTAGGAACATGGATAACATCAGATGTAGACCAAACCAAAGAAATTAAGACACGTATTGAAATAGCACGTACATCATTTATTAAACTTAAAAAGTTTCTTTGTTGTCGGGATATAAGGTTAGAACTACACCTGAGAATGCTTCGATGTTTACGTGTTCTCTACTCTTCTTTATGGTCTGGAAGCTTGGACACTAAAACAAGTTCATCTGAATAAGTTGGCCGCCTTTGAATTTTGGTGTTACAGAAGAATCCTACGAATATCATGGACTCAAAGAATGTCAAACATGGAAGTAACTAGAAGGATAGGAAATAAGGCGGAAATAATATTAACTATTAAAAGACGAAAACTTGAGTACTTGGGACATGTGATGAGAGGGCAAAAATACGCATTATTACAACTTATTATGCAGGGCAAAATCCGAGGAAAGCGAAATGTGGGAAGACGAAGAATATCCTGGCTTAAGAACTTGAGGGAATGGTTTGAATGCAGTAGTGCAGAACTTTTTAGAGCGGCAGTCAACAGAGTCCGCATAGCAATGATGATTTCCAACCTTCAATAGAAGATGGAACTTAAAGAAGAAGATACAGTAACATGCACATCTTATATCGACTAGAAAATCTGAAAGATTCTTTTGCTTGTTTTTGTTTTAGATATATACTAGACTTGAATAAAAATTTGAAATGGTTCTTTTTCATAAATCTATCTATAAAATCTTACCATGTGTCAATAATCCTCTTCAATATATTTGAGGTAAGCAATCATTATGTTTAACCCGTTTCGCATGTTTAGAATATGCTTGTTATAATGTGATAAACTACCATTGTATTTTACAGGTTAGTGGTGTTCCCCTTATAGAACTTATTCTTAATGGAATACAGATCACAATATTATTCTTGTTGGTTTCTATAAGTTGTTTTCAAGCAAACAAAATTACTTTTATGGTAAGTAGAGGAGATTAGTTGGTTATATTTATTGGTAGTAGATGACTGGGACCCATGGAAATAAAAAAGCAAAATTGAAATTTACAAAAAATACAGAAACGAATGCTTATTCAATACAACTAGAGCTTAAGAACAGAATATTCAGAGACAAATAAAAGCTATCAAGAAAAATAAAAGAGGAGAAAATAACAAAACTGGAAGAACAAATAGAAAAAAAATTCAACAAAACTCAAATATTAAATAAAATTCCACGAGGAAACTAAGTTCCTGTAGCTGGCTGTATACCATATATCACAAAAAAATTTTGTTAAAATCCTTTATAAAAGGTATATAAAAATGCCTCAAACGGGCTATCACAAACACATTGCAAAACGTTTTCGGATTAAACAATCCATCATCAGTGCAAACGGTTGTACATGCTAGTAACCACCAAAATATATGGGTAAAAAACCCTTTAAATGTTATAAATTTGAAATTGTTTTACATTATTAGTATTTCTAATTTGTGATGGTTAAGTTACCGTTGAATAGGTAACATGGCGGCGTATGACTCTACATGAGTAAAATGGTCCTGAGACGAAGTGTCTAAGAGGACCTGTTGATAACAACTCAGGTTGAGTTGTTATCAACAGGTCCTCGACCTCGACTACAAAAAAAAATTAAAAAACCCGGGCACGTAGTGCGAAACTCCTTAAGCACGAAGTCTTTGAATAGGGCGCAGCCCAGTTCAAAGACTTTTAGTTCAGCAAGCAAGCAATTTTAGTTTCGCGGATGAGTCACAAGAGGATAACAGGAATAAAGCGGGTCATGCTGGCCTAAATTTAAATCGTTTAAGGAACCACGATTCAGTTTTATTACCCAGAACTCCCACATGAAGAGTATTTGGCTGATAATAGTGTGCCCCTATCGCACATCAGAGTTCTATAGGGGCAACAGGATGGTCTGGATCATTGGAGCGAGGTGGAGAGAAGTAACTCCTGTTTACACGAGTTAATACATCTTACTTCAATGAATTGTTATACCCGAACGTAATTCTAAGGCGTAAATATGTCTCACAGGCTGTGTATAATTAAATTGCTTGCTGTCTTGCCAGTAGCAATAATGCAATGGTTATTGATTAGTGAAGTAATGTCTGGGGCTCGGAAGACTAAGACCTCCGAAGCACTAAAAAAAACATCAAAGAGGATGTCGACAGCTCGGCGCAATGATAATCGAGGCGGTTCAACTCGGACGGCTTTTGAGTTTAATACTAATTCTTCTAATAGCATTAATCTTCTTTGCTCTAAGTATAAATATTGAACTAACAGTGAAAACTATTTATATTGGATATTTTAGGGAGAACAACTTTGTACTAACATTTATAACAGCGACTGGATTGGGCAACCTTCAAGTATCACCCAATGTTTGCTAATAATGATGATACGTACCAAAAAAGAATTGAAACTAGAGTGTTTTGGCATAGTTACTTTAAGCAACATTTTGCTAGTTAAGGTAATTGCACTATACGAATATGAAGGTTGTGTTTTAGAATATACAAGATTATTAGGAATGACGTTATTGGTTATCTTGATTTCTTTTTGATTACGCAAAAAATCACAATGTTAGAAAAGCACATTAAGTTGTAAGCTCACTTAATTACATATGTCACAAATTCTTATTAGATTAATAAGTCTTCTTCTTTTGGCATCATAACGCTAGATGGGTCTTTGCCTGTCTGGCTTTGTCCTTCCATTCAGATCTGTCTTGTGCCCTTCTTCTCCATTGTCTTATGTTCATTGTTTTCAGGTCGTCTTCCACGTCATCCAACCATCTCGTTCTGGGCCTTCCTTTTTTTCGCCTTCCTATGGGCTTCCATTGTAACATTTTCTTTGTTGTTTTTGCATCGTTTTGTCTCTGCACATGTCCCAGCCATGGCATTTTTTGACTTTTCATAAATCTTACAATGTCATAACCTTCATTTAACTCATTAACCTCGTCGTTTCTCCTAATTCTCCATTTGCCATCTTCCTCTTGTACCGGGCCATATACTTTTCTCAGTATTTTTCTCTCGAATGTCCTGAGTTGGGCTTCATCTTTTTTCGTCATTACCCAAGTTTCACATCCATAGGTTACTACGGGTCTAATCATTGTTCTGTAGATAGTCATTTTGGTTCTTTTGTCCAATAATTTCGATGTCATTAATATTTTATTAGCATAGTATGTACGATTTCTGCTGGAAATACGTGCATTAATTTCGCTTCTTACTACAGAGTTCCTCTGATTGATTTCTGTGCCGAGATATGTAAAGGCATCCACTCGTTCGATAGTATAGTTTTCTATTGTGATATTATTTTCATTTTCAGTTATTCTTTTGACTGTCATATACTTCGTTTTTGCTTCGTTTATTTTGAGACCTCTTTTTCTTGCTTCAGGATCAATTTGTTTGAACACTTCCATTAGTCGTGGCTTATTCCTACTAATGATGGCTACATTGTCTGCATATGCAGTAATTTGTACTGATTTGGTGTTTATATGGCCGGTTATACTGGTTTTTCTGATGACCGCCTCAAGAACTAGGTTGAATAGCATGGTTGATAGGGCATCTCCCTGTCGTACTCCCATGTTGATAAACAGTGGAGTCAGTTCTCCATCTACTCTGACTGCGGCTTATGAACACTGCAACGTCATTTTTATGAGGCTGATGTATTTCTTAGGTATACCTAGATTACAAAGGTCTTCCAGCATTCTGTCTCTTTTCACACTATCAAAAGCTTGTTTAAAGTCTATATACATATTAATAATTATCACTAACAATTAGAACTGATATCGCTTACAAAAAGATTCGCGAATACTACTTCTGTAATCCCGTCTTGACGAAGTTATATAAAAAAACGTATCTTTGATGGACGTAAATTCCGGATTTCGCTAAAGCACAGGGCCGCAATCAGTGTATATGGTACAATAATACGCTACAAATATTTTATAATCTCTTCTGAAAAGATTATTTATAACATTTTACTCGAACATTATTATTTAGTGTTTGTTAATTAATTGATTTTTCTTGTCCACTGTTCTCTATTCTAGTGTAATTATATATTTACTTTTATAAATCTTCTCTTATACTTATTATTAGCCATTTCTTCTTTGTGTTTAAGATAATAAAAAAACTATTTTGTTTGTAGATTTTCCAAGCTGGATACACATATGTCATTCTGAACCTCACCAAAACGACTTAAACAACTACAAAAACTTCTGTCATTAGTGCATTGACTTAATGTCATACATAAATTTTAACGAAGGCTTATTTAATAATAGGTTACAGTGTAGTTAACACTTTAGATCCAACAATGCTTATGTTTTATTTTTTATTTAAATATGAGTAGTGTATTTATTCATCCAAACGGAGGGAAGTTTTTAAGCGAAGAAAAAGTTTTAAGAAACAAGTCGTATAGAAATAGTTGTATAGCTTTTTTTGTAGCATTATATGTTGTTAATTGTTATATTTTTTGCAAATTAACAATGAGTTATTTAAACAAAAAGTCGAAATTTGAAAATTTCTTAATTTTCAAAACAAAAAATTCTGTACGTAAATTTAGAAAACAAAGATTATACTAAAAATCATCTAAAATTATTCCCAACACGTCCGGCCATCCAGTTGAAAATAATATAAACCTTCATCAATGGCGTACTATAATCTCCCCCTAAATAAAGGTAGTGAAAGCTGCTACACATCCTCATCATCAACCCTTCCTAAATCCCGACGTAAAATCCACCCTAAAACTTCAAACGCATCAACAAGAACAAATCACGGGCTAAGTACAACTTGATGAAGACTTATTTGTAGCAATATAGAGTTGTGGAGTTACGACTCAAACTTAGGTGTAAGTTACGAAGGTGTGGTGTGGAGTTAAGGCAAGAGGGAATAATGAAACTACAGACAGGGCGTGATTTAAGCGATTAAATTGAGAAATTTAATTCAAGAGAAAAAATGAGATTTACACAGTCATATCATAAAGCATTTCTAAATCTTTAAACGAAATTTGTTAAATTTCTTTATTTTTATTTTTATCAAAGTTATAACCATTTTCTTGCTTGTTTATGATACAAAATATGATTATAACAAACTATTTTAGTTTATAAGCTAGAGCGTCATACAAAATTTAATTATTTATAATAATTTTCTGACCACTGAGATCAATAGTCACCCTTGAAATTTGAAATTAGTCGCCAACATAGACAAAAATCTTGGATGGACTTTCAGGATTTAAAAAAAACACGGTAGCTCTTAGCTGGCCTCTAGATTAATACATTTATCAAGAATTTACAGTCAATCATGATCACCGTAATTAGCTTTTTGTCAATGGTTTTAGCAGCATGAGCATATCGATAGATGTTTTTTTATTATATATTTTTTTAAGATGAGGCTACGTTTCACAAAATTGAAATGGAGAATCAGCGTAATTTTATTTACTATGCATTATGTGCAAATTGGGACCAGTCAACAAAAATAAGATCACGAATTGAAAAAGTGCGAAACGCTTTCAACAATATGAAAAAGTGGTTCACAAGCAAAATCTCAATGGAACTAAAATTAAGACTGGTCAAGTGTTATGTCTTCCCGGTCTTGTTCTATGGAGCGGATGCATGGACCACAACGGAAGCCACCCTGAAGAAACTAAAATCATTTGAGCTGTGGATATATCGCCGTATTCTTCGGATATCCTGGACAGACCACATCACTAACGTGGAAGTAAAGAGAATAGGCAAAAGCAAAGAAATAATCTGCACCGTAAATAAACAGAAGCTTGAGTACTTCGGACATGTCATGAGGCATACTAAGTACCGGCTGCTACAGTAGGAGGGGACCATGAAGAAGACGACACTCATGGATGCATAACCTGCGACAATGGTTCGGACTAACATCGACCAAACTGTT